ACTGTACAGAAAACCTAAAATTGTGCACCACTTTCTTTCACTTCATAAAGAAGTTTAAATGTTTAACTCTGGACAGATACATGAAATATGATACTTAGTTTGTGCTGTAGAACTTCGTTGTTCTGTTACTGATTAGTTTGTTTCCTCCTGCTGTATTTATGAAGATGAACTGATGTCAAGATGACGCTCTGACAAAGGAATAAAGGGTAGGCATAATAAGCTTAAGCTTCAGCCTGCACCTTTTCGGTCTGTATATGTTAAATATGACTGTTTATGAATTAATGTCAAAATATACCTGTGACCGAAATAAATAAATAAATAAAATAAAAATAAAATAAATAAACATGTGAGCCAAAAACATACAGCTGAAGTTACTGTATAGGTCTATGGAAGTAAAGCCTGAATTTGAACGTTTTCTTCAGTGTCATGTTGATAAATTAAGGGCCCATATTACGCTGAGTTCTTCTCAGTTCCTAGAAGTTCTCCGCTGAATTTTTAAAGTCCATACACTATCACTAGCATAATTTGGATAATTTCAAACCTGAAACTGCCAAACTATTGAAGTAAAGGTAAAAGGTAGCTGTTAACATGAAAACTACTGCTTTATGACAGCGCAAGGTGTAACAAAGCATTTTGAGGCTTGGACATGTAGACAAACTAATAATAAAGAGTTACTCAAACATATGTGAGTGAAAAGAGGTAATAACATCCTAACATGACTTAAAGCTCAAAAGAGTCAGTTTTGTGTAACATAGGGCCTTTAACAATAACATATATGACTGGGTACTGTACATTGAATAATAAATTAGTTCAAGACTGCTGCTATAATTGAGTACAGCCTATGTAAAAGTGTTCATGAATCCTGACAAGCATATACCCTACATCAAGGATTTTCAAACCCTGCGGGACTCCCTTATGATGCCACTGTTTATATTAATGGAGGCAATTAGTACAGAGATGGATAGTGATATTAGCACATTAATTAGTTATTAGCACAATCAGCACACTCCTCCCGTGGGCTTTTTCTCGACAGTGACTCATAACAGTCCATATGTCGGAAAATCATAGTTTGACAGATGTTAAGGAAAGGTATTTGCTCATTATTTAGTGTGGAGAGCCAGTCATATTGAACTAACAAAGAAATGCATGAATTTGCATATCAATCCATAATGAGATAAGATAAAATGATCTTTATTTGTGAAACAGATTCTATAAAAAGTTTGATTTACAAAACATGAGAAACAGCAGGAGAATAAAAGGCAATTAAGAACACAGATAGTAACAATAAAAATCTAACTATTTGATAAGAATATTACCATATACTTTAAGGGGAAATAATTACAAAAATAATAAAATACAACACAACGGTAAAACTTAAGTTCTTCTGTGTAATATGTGGCTATGACAACAATGGGGTGCATTGTTTTGATTTATGTTAAAATAGCATTTTCATTTGACTATAATGAAAGTGTGCCTACATACTGTACTGTCAGTGCTGTTTTTTGCATTTGTTCAAACTAAAGGAACGCACTCTGACCACTAGGTGTCCCTCTTAAACCACAGATAAGGCCCCAGCAGAACCGGGGCCCCTGCTTTACTCACATTCATTTGCTAGAATATTTAAAAAGATTGTTATTTGGAAACTGTGGAGAATTTGTTTACTGACTTATCATACTCTAAACTGATTAGTGAGGTGTTACATTTATTTACAACAATAGTGAATTGTATTTAAACATATTTAATATTACTAGTAAACAAACAATGAAAAAAATAAACAAAAAAACAAACAAATAAATAAATCAATACAAAATAACTGTGGCCATACCAGCACTGATTTTGAGTAAGAAAATGTAGTTTGCAAAGTTGTTTAATCATAAGTAATTGCAACTATCTAAACAAGTAATTAAGTGCTTGCTTTATCCAATAATCAACATCAGAATTTTCATATTTCTTGTCAGTATGGCTCTTTTTCTCATTGTGAGCTATCAAATGCAAAGACAAATCAGTTTTATCTGAAATGCTGCAAATGTCTCCAAGCATGTCTGTGCATAATCGACTGCGTTCTGGCCCATAGGTTTTGACACATGTGTACATCCATGGCTGCTGTTCCCTGTCCTGTATCCTGTACCACAGCTCACGGATGGATACTGATCAATGTGTACATGCGGTTGCAAAGAGAAGGGACTGTTTTCATTCTGGTGGACACGGGGAGCTATTGATTCACACACAGCAGCCTGAGGGGAGCAATGTCTGAAGATAAAAACTAATCCTGTAGTAGTAATAGTAGTAGTAGTAGTAGTAGTAGCAGCAGTGCACTCCATGTTGTGGAGAATAGTGACATCATGGTGAAGTTATCGGCAGGCAACATCAGCTCAGACCTTTGAAAACAATAACAATACAGCTGAATATTGAAGGCTCTGTGAGTGAGAGGGAACATTTAACATGAATAATTTCAATGTATAAACTCAGCATTTAAGAAAAATATTTTCTACTCATAATTTAGAGATGTATTTTTGGAGATTAAAAATAAAAATAGGACTACACAGAGGTGGAATTGTTGGTGCTGTTTACTGTTACTTCATTAGTCCTTCTTTACTTCAAGGTGCCCTAAGTTTTCTGATGGATGCAATTTCATTTTCGCCAACTTTATGAAGATACTGTGCAGTTACAAGTCAAGAGCTGTGCAACATCTAAGGAGTGTTTTGTTTCTTTGCCATGAATGAGAAAAACGTGCTTATGTCCTATCCTCTAGCTGTAGATGTGATGCTTCTTACAAACTGTACATCTGTAGTTCGATTTGTCTCAACTGTCTATAATTGAATTTCACAGGCACAAATTATGCACATGTATAAACACTTCTTAAAACAGATGAATCAAAATGACATTATGCAACATTAGATCAACAAAGACACTCTTCCTGCCATGTATCCTCTGCCTCTACCCCTCGTCCCACTTTCTCACTGATGCCATATGAATTATATAAAAAGTGAGATTTACATAGGGAAAAAAAGAAATGTAGACTTTTCTTTTGCACTAGCATTCAGGGATGTAATTTATTGTTATTTCCAATCCTTCTGTTTGTTTTACAATTGATTAAAAAACAAAAAACATATGGTGTTATTGCAGTTTTGATCCTATGAGCTTAAATGTCCAGTTGCACAACTTGTCCCTCTTTTCCAAAAATATAAAGTAGTCACCCACTGCCATGTTGTGAACTAGTCAAATCAACACTGGCATAAAATATCAAAAATCAAATGCAAAAATATGTTTGTAATCAGTTCTAACCAGAGACTGTATAAAAAAGTGGACTAAGCGAGCGTGACTTCACCCATAGCGTTCAGCTCCAGTCATATGAAGCTTGCGATGATAACTGATAGATGATAGATATAGGGCCAAATTTGGAGCCAGATTCTATATTATGAATAGGATTTTTTTTTAACAAACTAGCAAAAACAAAAAACACCAGGATCATATAGTGTGGGGAAAAACAAAAAATTTTAAGACCAAAAGACAGATTTTATTTAGTTTTTCTATGTAAATCTCAATTTTTATACAATTCATGACCACAATTTTGGATGACATTGAAACACAGAAATCTGACAGTGCAACTTGTTGATTCTGTGATGTTCAAAAGAATGTCCCTTTGGTCTCCTTTTGCTTCGGACCCACCCCTCCTCTCTATTCTCCTGTCACAGAACCATGTAGCCTGTCAGCCCAGTGTAAAACAGAGAGCTGTGAGAGGGGCTGCCCTGTGCTCCGGCTGCTGCTGTGTCCTAATAATGCAAATGCCATAGATCAGATAATGAGCAGAAGCCATGTTACGAAGGATCGCGCAGTCACACTCAATATGTGTACTGCCATCTCCACGCAAACTAACCAACGCTACAGATGGTACTTTTAAATCGGGACTATTGGTGAAATTATGAAAATATATTTAAGGAATTCAAAAGTATGCAGTGTGACAGAAACTTAGGCATAGAAAGTGTCTAAAACTTATTGAAAAAATGTATGACCTTTCTGAGACCTCCTGCAGGCATAATAAAAAAAGATAGTTGTCTTATGAAAAGGCCGAATGTAGCCTATCCAAGGGGGGGAGATTACATAATTGGAAGTAAAGCAGGAATAAATTAATGACTGTACACACACAAAATTTGACAAGCCTAGAGCAAAAGCAAGTATCTAAAACTTAATTTAAATCTTCTTTTGTGTCTACTAATGTATTTTTAGGTGAATATTGAGAGCTTCCACTGAGCAAATGACAAAGAGGCCAATAAGCAAGGACATTTGGTGACAGGGTGATGAATGGCTGTACATGATGAAGCAGACAGGACTCTGGACACTGCAAACTTATCCACAAAGTGCAGAAGAAAAATCAATCCCAGGATGACACAGAATTAATGTGTTCTATTGACTGTGCACAGACGCAGGTCAATAATGATCAACATTAATGTACAACATGGACACTGTAAAATCAAGTTTGCTTCATAAATGTTTAAACACACTTTCCATTGTGTGCAACATAGCCTGACAAATCACTTTTTTACCTTGTCTAGTGCTTTGACTTGTTAGACAAAAGCTTGCACTACTGTATTGCTTTGCATCCAAGCTGGATATTGACTTGGATTTTTTCTTGGTCAGTTTTTATTCTATTCTGGAAATGCTAATCCTAAACTATAGCCTCACCACTTTTTCTATTGCCAACCTTGGCTGTTAGTCATGACTCATAGTCTAATGTTGAAAATAACAGAGAAGGAAGCACAGGGCCCCCCCTTCAATGTAGGATCTTGGCCTTGTGAGAGTGACCAGCAAATTCTAACATAGGCACACAGGCTACTATTGCTCAAACACTAGCAGCTCAACTGATTATTCTGATTAAAATTTACTCAATATATTGTTATTTTTATTGTAAAGTATCGTCGCTCGTCAGCAGTCTACTAGAAACAAGATCGAATTGCCGAGCGACGCGAGTAAAAGTGAAGGGCCAATCTGGCAACCCGGAACAAGATGGCTGCGCCCTTGGGAAACATGTTTTGTTTTTAGCTCTATGTCAAAGTGCTCCATAGTGAGAGTGTATGGACTGCGAGGCGGACAGGTGACCCGGCTCAGATCGGACTATGGAGAGACGCGAGTTCGCCGCATCCCTGGTGGTAAATCCGCAGAACTGCGAGAAACTGTGAATGAACGAAGGACATGATTATTCTGCAGGCTATTAGCTCCAAGCTGCATGCTACTTTTACACCACATTTATAAAAAAAATAAAATGATCAATCTTACGAAAACAAGCGAAAATATAACTACAAAGATGTGGTTATTTATTATTTTTTGTCGTTTTGGTAATTTTCTTCCTTTTTAGCCGTCATGAATAGTATGCACTTGTTACTCTTCTGTCTGTTTTTAATAGATACATTTATGCAGTTTCACTATTAATAATTGACCTGGAATCTCTGTCGACCCACCTTGTACACATTAAATGAGGATGATGTTATGTTATAATATTACTGTTTAATGCATTGTGATTGTAACAGCCTGTGGCTTTCTTCAGGCAGGAGGTTGTGCTGGGATGTGTGTTGACCTGACCCTGTACCCTCTGGACACCATTAAAACTCGGCTGCAGAGTCAACAGGGCTTCTTCAGAGCTGGAGGCTTCAGGAGAATCTATGCAGGGGTCCCAAGTGCTGCCATTGGCTCCTTCCCCAACGGTAACAACCTCCCAGTGTTCACATATATACTTATGGAAACTCTCACACCTTTGTATGCATATTCTGATTACAACACAATGACCCAAAAGCAACATTTTAGGCAAACCTCAAACTGCACAGTATAAACACAAAAAGCCAGCATACATCCTCCTTCACACATATTTCTCAGAACTCCGCAACTCTCTCCTTTGTTACACACACAAACTAACAAACTGAAGAACAATGCTGTTGATCATTTATTTCATGTTAATAAACTCTTTCTCAGGTCTGTAAAAAACACAGTTCGTCAACACAAGACAAATAATAAAAATGGCACAAAAAGTTAATTTGAAATGGAGGTGTTATTATTATTATTTTAAGCTTTCTACCATGTTGTAACATTGTGCCTTCATCAAAAGCATGCCTGAAGAGGTTCTAGACGTCATCCATGTATGATTGTATATTTTTACAATCTCTCCCGGGCCCTATTTGTATCCTCTTTACGGTTAGCTGTAAGATTCTGTCCAATGCTCAGTCCACAAGCCTACGTCACCCACGCTCCCACATGACAATTCTCCATAAATATAGAAAACAAGATACAAAACTGTACACAGCAACTTGACAAATCTGATGTGATGTGAAGTAGTTTTGTTAGAGGGATGCACACTCATGTGTTGTTATACTTCTCTGAAGGGGGAGTGACTTAATTCCAAGAGCAAATGGAGGGTAAACTCTGTCAAAAATTAAAATGAAATGTATAAAACATGTTAACACAATAAAAGGTAGCATGATGATATAAATATATTTTGTGTTAGCAGTCAATACCTCATAGAAGTATAATACCCCTCTTTAACAGAAGCTGAAGCTGATGTGTTATGAACAATTTTAGTACACAATTTTTTTTTTAAATCACTGTTGAGTAAATATTGAATGAAAAGTTGAAACTACAACAGCCACTTTTCCCATAAAACCCTCTCATTAATGTAGGGCTGTTGCTGACTAAAAACAAGCCCTACTCTGTATCTTCCCAAAATGTTTTCTCTTGTCAGTAGCATGAGATCCTGGCCTACACATATACATTATATATTTATTTTTTCCCTAGTTTTTCTGATGACTTTTAACACCTATACCATCTGTACCAAGTTTAAGTTTTTTTTTTTACCTGTAGATGGCAGTTGTGAAACCTGCCCCCCTCCCATCACCTGGCCTTTGTTCAGACTCATCAGGGCTGTATCTCAGTTGCAGTTTCTTGCCTTGGTCTGATTTGGGTTTGGTAGGGCATCCTGGTCATCGCTCACTGCCCAAGTTGTATTCCAATCCCCATGTCCTCCTCTCTCTCTACAGGAAACTAAGATAGAGAGACTACTGTGCTATATTTAATGTCATTAGTTTAGTTTATTTATTCAAATGGACAGTCTACATTAACCTTTACAGGAGAGATGCATTGTACTGGGTTGTAGCACTACCTGTAATCATTGGGCAGGCCGATGTTGCTACTCTTCCACACATTAACATTTTCTTTGTTACATGCATATCTTGTGTTTTTTTACAGTGTATATATATATTTTCATGACATACACTGCTCAAAGTTTATGTTAAGACAACTTTTTAGCAAGCAACTGTTTTACACACACATACAGAGACACACACTCCTGCGTCTCCCCTGTCAGTGGTTGTGACTGATATTAATTGCTCTATGCTGGTTGACTAATGGGCCTTAAATTGCCTTGGTTCTGCTTGGTTTCAGCCGCTGCGTTCTTTGTCACCTATGAATGTGCTAAGTCCCTGCTGGGGTCTGCTGGACTGCTATCGGCCCCCCACATGGCACCTGTCACTCACATGTTTGCTGCATCACTCGGAGAAGTTGTAAGTATCTGTTTTTCATGAAGTCCGGTATATCATCCTCCTGACATTAAAGAGGAGGTATTGTGCAACATCAATTTATTTTTTTGAACATGTTAGAACTTTACTCCCTCATCAGACACATGCCTGAAGAGGTTTAGATGTCATCCATGCATGTTTCAGTAATATAGCAATGTCTCTGTCCTTACGGTTAACTGTAAGATTCTGTCCAATGCTCAGCCCACAGGCCTATGTCATCCATGCTCCTACATGACAGTTCTCCATGAATATACATACTAGGCTTAATTCAAAACTGTACAACTTGACAAACCTGATGCAATGTGCTGTAGTTTCATTTGCAGGATGCACAGTGATTGTGTCGTGATGTTGCGTTGAAGGGGGGGTGACTTAGCATGGAGAGCAAAGACAGGGGAAACACAGTCCCTTAGAAATGAAAGCGAAAGTTATGTAATATATGAATACATTGTTTTTATCGAAAGTATGTTTTCATAATAAAACAAGGTATCATGGTGGTCTAAATATGTTATGTGTTAGCAGTTAGTATCCCCTCGAATTAAAATACCCTCTCTTTAATGACAATACATTTTTCTCTGGATAATTCTATTTAAGGTCTCTTATGTGTTAAATTAAATTAGATAAAATATTACCGTTTATCGTATACATTTTCTTCATCAATATATCACACAAATGTTTTTGTAGCGAGTAGCATACTACGTTTTATACTGTGTATCTGTTAACTGTGAGTTTACTTGTTTTTCCAAAGCCAAATGCAGATGGACATGTGCCAAAGATGGACAGTCAATACAGTATAATGTGTTGAGTGCCAGGCAGAGATTAATAGGGGCAGTGCTTTCAGAGGGCACAGTGGTATTGTGACAGGGGATGCAGATCATAAGGTTAAAAGGAGGTAATTTATTTTATGTGATACTACCTGCAATAAAAAGTCTAAAGGCAGCACTTTACTTTTACTGTCAATAAAAACGCAAGTAAGGGCTTCTCAAACTTTTCAAGGCCAGGGACCTATTGGTATGAAAAGATCCCAAGGACATCTACCAATCCCCAGGATGGCATCACTATGAAATTAAAAAGTTTAAACCATGTATAAAACCACATTTGTATAATGAATAATGATGAATAATAAATCATTCTTATATTCCTTTTTTATTGGTGTAATTTCCATCAAAAACAATATAACTTGCATATTAGAAACAGTAGCATTTAAGCAATGATCATTATTATCACATTTTACCTTGGACTTCACTCTGAAATGATTCAGCTATACTTTTTGTCATTTAGTCAACTAGTCAAACAGTTATTTGTATTGAAACTTTTTACAATACATTATCCATGAAATATGGAAACTCTAAACTTCTAAATAGAGAATATTTACAAATAAAGTTATTTATTGAAAATTGTTTATACCTTTTTGAGCATTTGATTTAATACAGCCACTGTTTTCCTTAAAAATAAAAAAAATCTTTTTGTGCCTGTGACAATTATCAAAATACGACGATCATTTTTACAAATAGTCAGCTAGGCTTAATTAATCTTAGTCGATTAATTGTTGAGGCCCTAATAGGTACATCGGTACATTCATACAGTAGATTATATACATATATATATTATTAAGAGCTTTATTTGTTAAAGCAGAGGATAAATGTATCATTGAGGCAGCATTTTAAAAGTACCCATATGTTCTTATCTCTCCTATATTTAGTGAGCCATCTGCTTTGCATACTTGTAATTGCTCATTTTCCCCTGGTTTCTTTCCCACAACTGCAAGTCCCAGATGATCACCAGTGGCATGTGCGTTCGGCATTTCAAATTTCACAGACCATTCCGAGGGGGCAGCAGATGGAGAGTGGGTGTAGTCCTGGTTTTCAGCTCAGGGCCCCTGGGTGCAGCTGGGTGACTAAAGGGTGCTTCCTCGGGACCGTCCCCAGATTTGCTCCCACAAGCTGGGTAAATAAGAGCTCATTGCCGCGTATTGACTCATCTAGTTTCCCAGCTCAGACTCCAGAGTGCTACAATTTAGTGAAGGGATTCTGCCTTGAAACTGCTGGAGCTGAGCAATTTCCTCCACCCATGTTCCAAACCATATGGAGGCTTTTGGAGATTTGCGTGGTATGAAGGGAGTGGTGGGGTAGTAGGGGGTATGGAAAGTGGGTGCCCCTCTGCTGTGTACCACCATCTTAAAAATGTCAGGGTTTTCAGTATTCATGGTTTTTGGATGGATGTCATTTTTTGGCCAAGTTTTGCATGTTTATGAAATGGGATTATTCCCGTTGGGAAGGTGCCCACTGTGCTGATTTTACAGATGTCTCTCTGTATGACTCATTATTCAAGGGAGAACATCATGCTAGTCTCAGATTAGCATTAGCGGATCAAAAATAGTACATTTAGTGATGTTTGTAATCACTGCGGTATTACAGTTCAGAGGGCAGGAAACAAAGCTTTTCCAAACTTTTATTTTGTCGCGGACAGTGTGGGGTGAGCCTGAGGTTCAAACTGCTTCAAACCCTAACTCCATCTGTGTGAGATTTGTGGACATCAGATTCACAAATCCATGCGCCCATAGTCTTAGGAGAAGCTGAGTAGGAAATTCGTATTAAAAATTATACTTTTTTGGACCAGTGAGGTTTCATTTGGTTTTCCGATGATTTATGGAATTTAGTTCTTTTTTCAGACCAAGAGTTTTTTTTCATACCTGACAGTTTCGACTGCTCACTAGCGCTCTTCCTCAGAGTGTTCACGTGATGTTGTTGTGACGTGTCCAGTCAGCTGATTTATATATGGCTTTATTTATGGCGCTATCATACTGGCCTCCTGTGGTAGGAAGACAGCGCCAAAACCTGTACAAATCAGTTGACCAAACACGTCACAGCAACATCACGTGACCACTCTGAAGAAGACCACTAGTGAGCAGTTGAAACTGAAAACAAACTCTTGGTCTGAAAAAAGAACCCAATAACATATGATGCTTTTTTACTTGTTTTGTTGTATACTTTTACAACATTATACATTTATAGTAGTAACTTTATTTAATCTTTAATCATACTTTTTTTTATCAGTCGAAAAAATGAATGAATTCCCTTCAGGATAGTAAAGTATTTCTTATCTAATCTAATAATAAATGACATATTTACTCAAACTTGTATTCAGTAAAATACTGCCATTGTCTCATATAAACCTGTGGGAAACACTATTCTTCAAACAGGCTAATCTTCAGGTTTTGCTATGAAGTGCCCCAAGTCAGATACCTTTGCAATGTATTTCACAGTGATGCAATTCCTGCTCATACTTGGTTTTGAATAACTTTTTTCTTTAGTCTCCAGACAGCTCTTATTATTAACGGTGAAACTGGCCTTAATAGATAAAAAAATAACGCAGCAACACATAATAAAATGTAATTTCTCGTGGTCTGCAAACCATCTTTATGACTCCATAGAGACAGACTTAGAACATTCTCCATGGAGATGTAGATAATTAATATGCCATTCTGCCAGGTGAAAGTAAAGGTGTTTTTTGAGGTGAACTCTTATGAAATCTCACTTTTTTCCCTTTATTCTCTCAGTTCAGTTAACAAGGATTGCACCAAGTGGAAATTAACATAAACAGAACAGAACTAAAGGATGTAATTGCAACTTTTTAATTTATTAGATTTTTTTTCAAAACAGAGATATAATAACTGTAGCTGCAAATGCATGTTAAACCTAGAACAATAGAAATCCACTGTAGAAGGCAGACAGCAGACTGACTCGAGCAGTGCACTGTGCACAGGTGTATGGGTGTTTGTGTGCCTCAGCGGTGCTTTGGGGACTCTTCCATAAAGAATGTGTACGCTGATGGCGTCTGTCAGGCTCTACCAGGCTGTTATCCAGCCATTAGATCAGATTTATCTTCATTCCCATTCGCTCGACGTTTGCCCTGAAAGCTCATTTGTCAAGGCCAGGCGGCGGTCTTCTTCTCCCGCATCTATACCCCCCTCCCCACGCCCTCACATCCCCTCACACATACACACACATCTCATCTGCAGGACGATGTACTGGAAAATACACTGTGACATGATGAGATAGAAGGGGAGGGGCGGAGAAAGGAGTTTTGTTGAGGTGAGAAACTGGCTGCCACTTAACTTGGCTCTGAGGGAGAATCCATGTATTGGCTTTGAGAAGCTCTGTGCCCCATTGGGGAGGTGTTCTTATCTGTTGTCTTTGAGGTGACGTTTTCCCACTAATTGCATCATAGTATCGTTTTGGTTTGCACTGACTCCTTGTCTCTGAGGTTCACTTAAAGTTTTACCATATGCATAAAACTGAATGACTGTTGGTCTTCAGTGTGCCTGTCTGTGATTGTGGTCTGCCTGTTATTACTTTAAAGTGAAGCCATAGACTGTATTCATATATAAATGGACATATCTAGTTCACTAGCCACTGCGTTCCAAATAGGAAGTGAGCGTGGGGGCACTTCCGGCTCCATCGACTATTTCCATTTGACGTTGAACATTGAAAAATGATTGCTCCTCTTTTTGTAACTGCTGCTGTGAGCCTCACCTTTTTTGTTTTAAAATGTTCATATTCACCCACTCTATATGGTCCTGGTGCTTTTATTTAGCTATGTTGTTCGTAAATGAATTCCTATTCCTAATTTTGAACTTGTCTTGAGTCGATTGCTATAGGTGACGTCACACTCCCCACTTCTTTATACAGAATGTGATTGAAGCACACAGATAAAGTGGTGTAATGGCCAAACTAGTGTATGTTGCTAGACTGTGAGCTCTGACTTCTCATTACATTACATTACTCATTAATATTGATTATTTAAAGAAAATACAAATAATTATCATTTATTTTAAACAGTTTTGAGCCACTGTATTCTTTTTTTTGGGTTGTTGTGAAAATGTATCACATTTAAAAACCTGAACCTGACCATATGTCAGATCCATAGTTCCAACATAACAACCTTACACTAATATGTTCAGATTTACTATAGTCCTTTTGCGTGCCCACCTCAGGATCATCTGCTTGTACTTTGCTATGCCCTCTGAAGCCCGGCAGTCACAATAGTCATACATTCCTTTAGACACGTTCAATATTGGAGCCATTCTTCTATTAATACAAATCCCTAATCTGTGACAGTAACATATAGCCATTCACACATAGATACAAAAATATTGTGCTTCATATCTAAAGGGAGGACTTTACTCACTGGGTTCATAAAGATCCAGTATTGTAAGCCCCAGTCTCCTAAACACTGTTCACCCAACGTTATACAGCTCTGTGATCCAATTTCTTCTCATTTCATGCCTTGGACGCTGCACCATTTTCTCATTTACTGTTGTTTGCAGGACCAAAGATGACCCCCAGCCTTCTCACTATCTTCTATTGAGTCTCCCATTATTCCCCACCACCCTTCTCACTTGCAAATGACTCCCAAATAAACAATGTTCCTTCTTTATTTGTTCTAATCACCGGCTCATTCTGCCTCCTCCTCAGCAGTGACAGCAGAGGAAAAGCTGCATCAACTCCAGGCCCCCATCCAATTACATCTGTAATTACTTGTCATAGCCACTTTTTCTCTCTTTAGCTGCCCTCTCCTGCACCTTCACAAAATGGGCTTGAGGAAAAAAAAAGATGAGCACTGTGGTGTAAAATGTAACTTGACCAAAGTGTGGGCAAATAGGCTATCAATGATCGTTGAATATGCTGAATGCAGTTGCCTGTCTGACCACTTGATGGTAGTGTTGCACTGCAGTGCAGACCATTTTTCACTTTCACGTTCTTCTTCAAGCATTTGATTAAATTCACTCAATAATTTTGTTTCATTGTTAAAAAATAAATAAATAAATAAAAAATAAAATAAAATCAAAATTGATCATTTCTGACTAATGATGTTTGGGAAAGCTGATCTTAATGAGAAAAGTGGAGATCATCGTAGCTTTCAGAAGAAATTCTCCAAATATTGGTTTAATAACCAAGTTCAACATTAATGATCTAACTTGAATGATTGATCCTATTAAGATTTGTAGGTGCACAAAAAAGTGAAAAAAGTGGTATGATAAATTTTCTAAACATAATTAGATTTCGTGACACTTATTTTGTTGTAATCAAATATATTCAGGTCTGCACTACAGAGCATCTCTGTGTTGTGTATGCAAGACCAACTTTGTCACTATCCTGGATGGATGAACAGGATAAGGCCTGCATTTTGTCTGAACTTTCTACACTTCACATGTTTGGGAATGGGGTGTTACTTGGAGACTGGCATCTGTAAGACTGTGGGGAGGCCCACTTCTTCCACTGTGATGAAGACAGAATAAATGGAGAAGTGTCCAGGTGGACAGCTCTACCTGCCTGTGTGCCGTATCGCTGCCTGCCTTTAGGGTGGTGGGACTTCTGGTGCATAAATATTCATGTCTTTCTTCAGTAGCTGTTGGCAGTCCATGTTTTTGTTGACATATGGTAGCTGAGAATGTGATATGCATCTATCATGTGTTTGAACTCGTACATCTGCAGTGAGCGTAGTGACCTTTTTACCTGCTCAGGTGTGATGTCTGTAGGAGTACATCTCTCACTTAAACGCTCATTAGCCAAACTGCTCCATGCAACTGCTCGATCCTCAGTGACATGCGGCCACCTGCCACACACTGAGATCACACATATGCTGGTGTCATGCATGCTCGCTTTAATCATGTAAGCCATCGGAACTGGGAGTGGCATGAAAATGAGAAGAGTGAAAATCTGTTGAGTTGAATGAGTTTGACTGCAGTGCTCTGTGTCTCCTCTAGGTGGCCTGTCTGATCCGTGTACCGGCTGAGGTGGTGAAGCAAAGGACCCAGGCCTCTCCAGGATCTACCACCTACCACATGCTGCTGACTACACTAAGACAAGAGGTTTAACGACTAATTATTTTTTCAATAGATGAATGCATTCCAACAGTATTCTAAAAACTGCTTTGCATATGAAGTTTACATGTTTTTCTTAATATAACTTGCTTTAATATCATTTAAGTGGCAGTATGTGGAGAAAAAAGCACAAAAATACAGGATGTAGCAGTGAGTTTTATAATTTTATTCCACTACCTCTGTCATTAACACCAAAAATCCCTCCAAAATGCAGGGGTTTAAGTGCAAGGGAAGCAGTTTTCTAACTGTTTAAACATTTAATAGTATAAAGGTGTTGTCATTTATTTTGATTACTATACAATTTAGTTGTGTTCTTGTTAATATTATTGTTTCTAGGTTACGGAATTACCTCTACCTATCTCAATCTGATATTCATGTCTAACCAGGAAGTAAGATGCTTAATAAAACAAAAAAACAAAAAACAAGACAAGACTTTTTTGTGAAGTCTTAAATATTATAATGTTAATTCTGCTTTGGGAAAATCAGTAGTCTAACCTGTCATATGTGCGTTAAATACACAAACACACCCAAAAATGCTCATTTCATCTGGTCCTTATGCTGCATTAAGATTCTCACCCATCTGTTACATAAAAACAGTGTGTGATAAGAGTGCACATAAAACTTGCCTACACATTTTGATAGTTCCCATAATCCACTGTGTTTTTCTTCTTCACAGGGTATCAGAGGCCTGTACAGAGGATATGGGAGTACTGTTCTCAGAGAGGTACGAGTTCTGTTTTTTGTTTGTGCTTTCTGGTGCAGTCGGTTCAAAACTCTTTTACACAGATGGGCAATTTTATTTAGATGTGTTAAAAGATGGTGATCACTTACTATTTGAAATATACAGTACCTGCTCTTTAATCGACATATGTTAAGGTTTATATAGATCTAAAATGGTTAAACTCTGCGTATCTTGCAACTTTACAATTTGATTTATTTAGCATCTCATTCACTTAATCCCACCTGGAAAATCTATTAATAAATCTAAAGTTGTATTGGGGACAATTACTAGTTTACTGAAGGTGGGGTAATTTTGATAGACTGGATGATTTTAGGCTTTTCCCATTCCTTCTAAAGATAATTTCTCCTGAGTAAGGTTAGAAAAAGATGATTATTTTTAGTTGTTTGTGACACTACCTCCGCCTGCAGGAACACACCTGATAAATGAATGAAATTAGTCATTTTATAGATGCAAAACAAAGGGATAAATGAGCACTGAGCTACTGGTCCCATGATGGTCATTCACCTTTATTACAATGATAAAATGTTAGTTGGACCTGAGATGCATGATAATGTGAATTATGTTTTATTAAATGTGTATAAATGTGTCATTTTCTGGCAACGTATTATTTGTGGATTTAAAAGGGCGTAAAAAGAAAAGTATGAAGGTGACTCTTGTTTCTGTGGGTTTTTAGAGCTGGGAGGACGTAATCTAGTCGCTTCTACTGCGCTAGCCTGTACTTATTTTCTCCCTCACTAAACTGATGTTATTCACGCAAATTCCATCTGGACAGATGGGGAAAAAAGGACAACAAGACACTGTGATTTCTCCAAGGGGCTCTGAATAAATGAATACATTTGGAGGCTGGCGCTTGGCCTGTGCATACTAACACTGGCAGATGAAACGCAACAGTGGCAGCAGGGATCCGGGCGAGGAAGCAGCTAAGGATGCTCTGCTGTGATTGGCTTTGACGTGTGTCAGGAAGGTAATTCATTTTCTCCTGGCCTCCTCTGCTATCTGCCTATCTGTGCGCCAGGGCTGAGGACCTCATCAAGATAAGTTTGTTTATGTGCTCTCCTCTTCGGCTGGCTGCTAATTTAGAGGCCCCTTGTGTTAGATATTTATTTTGGAGCTTCAGAAGGCCCTTTGATTGACATGATGTCACATTAGAGCAGGTTGTGGAGGGGAGATTGTTTTGCTGATGTAGCTGTTTAAAACTTTGTTCATTACGGGCACATATGGTTAGGGTTTTGATCGCCTTATCCTAAATATGCCCCCTCAACCAAAGCATTGGATTTTTGAAACTTTGTGGTCATATTAATCTTTGTCGTGGTCAGCTCTTTCCCATTTGTCAAAAGCTGTGTTCTGGCAGCTGAGTCTGCAGCTTCAGGCTCTAAATGAGCAGAGAATGAAATAATTAAAATCCACACACTTTGTCTTAATTTATGATCAAACATGTGTATAACAGACAAAACTTGTTCAATAACCTAAAATGTTTACTTTAAGCTGGTCACCAATGTGCCACCACTAGATGGCATGCTAAGATTATCTACTACACCTGAGTGCTTCTTCAGTGCACCTGTCTACCTGTTCTCCATCACATTCTTGACACCTATGAGCTGCCTTCAAACTGCAAGTTTATATAATTCTAGATACAATATTTTCAATTTTATGCTGCTTTTGGTCTGAGTTATTGATTTGAGCCGTCAGTAATGTATGAGAGCAGCTACTGTGACTAGAGTGAAGGGTTATCAAAAAATGAAGTTTCATCTTTCTTCAGTAGTTTTAAAAGTGTACAATATAACTTTTATGGTACAGATTACACCATTTGCTTGTCTCTGTGAAGAAGTTATTGCTTATGGAAGTTCCACAATATGGCATTAAACTCCTTTCCATGGAGATACCAGGCCAAATTTACCGTTCAGACTGTGGGAGAGGATACCCCGCTCACAGTAAAAGCACATGTTTTTTGCATTACCAAGAGAAACACCTGTAATTGAGTGAATGCAAGATATACAGGTTTCATAACATCTCCATCTCCAACAACTACCTTTGTTTAGTTCCAGGGCTGAAATGATCCAGTGTTTTCTGTTTGAGAGAAGAACACAGCCTAAATATGCAGGATTTGTGTGTTAAACTTGTGTGAATAAAACAAAACACAACTCCAGGTACGTTTGTGATGAGGAAAAATAGCGTAATATGGACCATTAAAAGAAACTTATTTTTGTACTGAAATTCTATTGTACATTGTGCTTTTATTAACTCTGTGATATCAAAATCAGTGCTATTGAGTCCATCTCTTTGTATCAAAATTAGTTAACAATGACTTTTTGATTTCGTGACAACACCACAGCCTTAAGTCACCTGTGAACTAGAGACAATGTAGGCGATTGTTAGCTGCATAAGTGAGTTTGGCAGAGCAGAGTAGAGCAGTTTGGTCTGGATTGCACATGTAATTCCTTCGTGCTCCTCCACCCAACAGCTGTGACCTGGCACCTGAGCCTTCAGTGTAGAGCTTATGAAACACCTTTTCATCCAGGTTTCTCCGCACCACACCTTGGACTTATCTGTGTCCACTTTCTTTTATAACATCCTTTTCAGTGAATTTTCAGTTTTGTATTGTAAGATATTATGGGTAACATAGACCATACAACGACATTAGGGTCAGGATATTATGACTGTAAATATGACGAAGCTCCATATCCCTCCAGATCTTTAAAACATTTTAAATTGTTTTTATTTTATTTTATTTTAATTGTTGTTTTTTATGTCTACATTTTGTATACACACAGAAAACATCAACTATATGAAGTATTATGTAGCAAGGGGAAAAAACTACATAATTCAATATATCTTACTTCATATATTTGATGTCTTCTGTATGTATACAAAATGTAGACAGCAGTAAAAACAAAAGAGATAACGCGTACAAAAGTTTGACTTGTAGTGGATGTTGAAATAAAAAAAAGTAAAATGAGTGGGGGAAGCATTAGTTTCATTAGTAGTTCCTTTTTAAGTATAAGCATTTTTTTTTCATTCATTTTAAGTGAAGATATATATGTTTTCATTCCTTTATATATGAATTTAATGGTCAGATGCACTGGCCCACAGGTTGACTGTGCGATTCCACACATGAATACTATCTTTGTATCCTTGGGCAAGACACTTAATGCCCATTGCCCTCAGTGTCTGCATACAGTGGTTTATTAATCTGTGTGTGAATGGGTGAGTGGTTCCTTGATTTACCATTTTAACTTTGTTCTATTGGCAAATGACTAGTCCAGGCCTTTTGAGTTTTCTCGTTCTCATCATGTCTAGGTAAGTTTCCCTTGGGCATGCTTTCCCCCATTAACAGAAAATGTGCTCAATAGGTAAAATCCTCCAGCTAGGTGGTCCTAACCAAGCATTATTCAAGATCTGGAGATAGCTGACTGCTCCTGGTGGACCCAGCGGCACCGAGGGATGGGTCAAATGCAGCGAATGATTTTCCCAAGCCACTATACTATATTATGCAAAATGGCCTCCTGGGAGCTTTAAGCCATGTTAGAATGTTGTCACCTCATCGGAAACACCTGGAGTTGTGTTTTGTTTTATTTACACAAGTTTGAGTAACTATTTATTATTAGTCTGTTTACATCTCCAGACCTCAAAATGCTCAGTTCCACCTCATGATGTCACAAAGCGATAGTTTTCATTTTAACAGCTACCTTTATCTTTTGCTCAGTAGAGATTGGCTATTCCAGGGCTGAAATTATATGATTCTAATGAAGATGTATGGACTTTAAAAACACATTGGAGCACTTCCTGTATTACCACATGACAGAGTGTTTTCAGTTTTAGAGAAGAACTCAACCTAAATATACAGGGTTTGCATGTTAAACATATGTGAATGAAACAAAACACAACTCTCGGTATGTTTATGAGGAAACAACATTATAACATAGATCAGAAAATGGCATAGTATGGGCGCATTAAACTACTTCTTGCTTCTACTATTTGCTATAAATCACATTTAGGTTGCCCTGACATTAAGTATGTTATACAGTATATTTAGTGATATTTCAGGTTTGAGGTACTTGACATATGAGTATTTTCCAAAAGGTTGAAGATGAGTTTTTGTGTATACACAGTTCCACACCACTTGCTTTCTGTCCCAAAGGAGGTCTTCTGCTTCCTCTTGTGTTCCCATGTATGACTACTCCAAAGCACAGCTGACCATGGTACGGGCTTGGAAAGATGCCACTCTCTGGTTAGTTTGACTCAACTTCAGCAGAATCTCCCATTTCCCTGAGCAGCGCTGTGCAGAGACTATTGTTTATGTACCCACATATGGTAGAGACAGAGGGATGGGGCCTGTTTATTTTCATCTGCTACATTTGAAAAGGCCAGGATTTTGGAACACGAGTGGAAGACCTTTGTGCTTACTCAACAACAGCTGCTGTGTTTCATTTCAGACCAGCCAGCAATTCTTAACTAGTGATGGGTGGAGTAGTGAATATCTGTATGTGAGTTAGAGGGCCCATATTACAGTATCTTCTGATATATGTTATGCTGTCAGTTTCCTCATCACAGACATATCTGGGGCTGTGTTTTTTTTCATTCACACATGCATATTTAGGTTGAGTTCTTCTCTCAAACAGAAATCACTCAGTTCCACCTTGTGATGTCATGTGGTAATACAAAAAGTGCATGTGAAGTGAACTCCATACACCTTCACTAGAATCATTTGCAACATTTCAGCCCAATTCATAAATGATGGAATGGCCAATCTCTACCAAACTAAAGGTAAACTTGAAAACTACCGCTATGTAACATCACAAGGTGGAACAGATTATTTGGGCTTTGGAAATGTAGACAGACTATACAGATTATATCATGGTTTAAAGCTCACAAGAGTCAGTTTTGCGTAATGTAGGACAGCTTAGGTCTGTAAGCCTTTAGTTGATTGATCGGTTGCTGGAGTCTTAGTTGAGGAGAGGTTTTACTAGTTGACTAATTCATTA